GATGTGACACGGCAGATGCTTCCATGAAGTAGGAGATTATTTACTACTCAAAATGTAACTATTCTATCATTTTTTAACCTTTAAAATAGAGATTTCTTTCTATTTCCATAGTCAGCTGTCTTAACCATAATCATGGTTTTACATCTTAATGAATGTTTTTTAGTGGTTTGAAGTTACAGTTGAACAAAAAGTTCTCAGTTTCTTCACTGACGGTTTTTCTTCTTCATTCTCTTCTGGCTGTTGTTTTGAAAAAGTAGTACTTTAAAATGTTCAGTCTGATCTGCTTCATTTGCTGCTCTGGGGTGGGACGTTTCTACACAACAGCACTTCTGTTCAAACACCCACATGATAAAAATGAGGTCCCTAACTTTTCAAGTTAGTTTTGATCACAGGAGCAGCAGCAGGCAAGCTTCCTGCAGCAGAAGCGGTAAGACAGAGGCACTTTTCAATATAAGCATATTACAAATTGAAAATAAAAATATGCAGTCAAAATTAGGATTACAGAATCTGGATTAATTGTTACAGCACAATAATTATAGGCATGCAATTTTCTTGCAAACATGCTATGTAGTACTTCTTTATTCACCAGTAGAACTGATAATAAGAAAGCAAATCTTACTTATTAGCTATAATACAGCCAGTTCATTAATAAATGAAATATTGACTGTTCAAAATGAAAAATAATGTATTGATGGCTCCTTGTTTTCATTACAAACTCTTTACACATAGGGCAGCCATTAGAGAAATATTTTGTATCATGACAATATCTGTGCAGCTGCAGTTGCCCAGAGTTGTCCTGACAGAGTGCAGGAAAATCATGTCACAATCTTGAGAAACCATGTATCAGGCAACTTGACAGCTATGACCTTGACTAAAAAAAAAAAAATCCATTTTGAGATATGTCTCTTTCATCATCGGACTGCTTCTGGATTAGTTGGGTCTTTTTCAACAAAAAGCAAGACCTTGGTTTTAAGGAAAAATGGAATTTCTCACATAAGTCAGGATTCCAATAGGTGAGACTTTAAGAATACCACCTCCCGTAACAGGGTATGTGGTACATCTGGGAGAGCTTGGAACACTGGGTAACATCTGGCTGGACTATGCTGTGTCATGGGTGAAATCTGTCAACATTCATGCTGTGTCAACAACACAGCACC